AGTCTATCCTCATCATAGAGTAGGACCATCCACTCGATTGGCAGTTCAACATTTGTTTTCTATGTGTTGCTCTCCAATTACGGGGAACTTTTCATCCAGTATTAATCTATTTAGTTTATGTATCCTTCAGCTATTTATTCTGCGGTCCAAACGTACAATAGAAGCAGTTCACCTTATCAACCATCCTCCTACGATTCTTGTACACATCCTTTCTAATCGCTCGAAATGGCTGATAGTGAGCAATTTCAACCATCCTCCTAAAATTCTTGTACGCATCCTTTCCAATCTCTCTAAATGGCTGATAGTGAGCAAAAATGGTGGTAACTTAAAGAAATGGCTCACAATTTTCTTCCATTCCAAAATGCAGCTCAAGACTTAGGTTCCTTTTGTCTTTCTTTACTTTTTTTAGTTTCTTTTCTTTCAGTTTTTAAGTATTTTGCACACGGCTTCCTTCAAAGACTGAATGCTAGTAGAGCATGAGCTCAAATTTTTGCTGTTTCTTTAATCCCACACCATCATTGGACTGAAATCTTTCTAGTAATTTTTGTTTTCGTTCTTTAAATATTTAATTGAGGTACATTCATTAAGCCAAATAGAAGCACCTTGTACATAAATCCACGATGCTTCCTTATACCTGTTGCACATGATTCAGTCAGTAGAAATGCCAGGAAATCGTTGAACCATGTATATTGGAGTGCTCACTTTGACCACCACTTATGCATTGTGTTTAATGGCTAGAAAACAGGACCTAGAAGAATGTCAACCCACTCAAAGCAGCATAATGTCTTCCCAAATTTCAGGAAATTTCATTTGTTGCTGATACTTCTTATAGCTAACAGTAATACATTTGATGACACAACTGTTAGATCCAGCTTCAGGTTACTTAGTGGAGTTGTTCAGATCTCTCACTGGTTCCCCTCACTGTAATTAAGTAACATGCTGACTTCCCAAGGTTCACTATTTACAATACCACACGTATACCATCTTTAATCGATCCTTAGTACTAAGGAAATTAGGAAAATACCATTCGCTGACTGATAGTAAGATATGCCCTGGATCTTTAGACGTTTCATGAAAAGGTAATGCGTGATTATTATCATCCTTTATCAAACAAGACCTCCCTCTGTGACATGTTCACTATTTAGTCTTTGATCCGATTATGTTCAGGTGACATACTAATGTTCAGAGAGAAACAAAATCCATTATAGGATTCCTATATGATCTACGTAAGTCATAACCATTAGTTTACTCCAGGATGTTTTGTATGTTTATCACTCCTCAAGACATGTGGACCTTAATAGTAATTGTATTTTATACCCTTGGTTTCTCGTTTAGATACTTTAGCTGGTACAAGCATTTATCCTCCTTTCTCTTGTACCTCAGAGCCTCAATTATTCCTAAAGATTGTTATGTGGAATACCTCTCAAATTTTTTCTAGTCAAAATGGGATTTCAATTCCTAATTATATCGGGAAGCACACATTGTGTCGCTCTGCTGTTGTGATTTGTGTCTCTGAATTATTATTTTAAGTGCACTATGATTAAAAGGCCTTAATGAACAAAGGTAATGTGATGCTCACACACTACTCCAAGGCCTTGAAAAATATAATCTAGTCGATGACAAACACAGCAGTGAATGAAACTCGCAAGAAGGCCAGTAGCCACATCCCCTCTTTCAGGTTGCCTTAATTGTGAAATAAGTGTTTTAAGTTAAAAAAAAAAGATTTTCTACATGGTATTGGTGACCTTTGTCTTAGTAATGGAAAATGTGTGTCGGCATGGTGATACTCTACTCATCCAGAACACCTCAGATGTTTTGTTGCTTCCTTTTGTTTTCTACGTATTATACTCTCCATATCCTTAAACATTTGTTCCAAAGAAGATTTTCTGCCAAGGACAGAAAGGCTGAAACTAAATCAAGACCAATTATTTATTTTGAATGATGGATCTGACATGTAAAGTTTTCAGTATTTTGAATGTATTTTATCTTTATTCATAAGGTCATGACATTGATGGCGAAGAATGTGTATCTGTAGGATTTGATGCCTGGAGGTGTGAATTCTCCTGTTCGTGCCTTTAAATCAGTTGGCGGGCAGCCCATTGTGTTTGACTCTGTCAAGGGTTCCCGAATGCGGGATGTTGATGGTAATGAATACATTGACTATGTAGGGTCATGGGGTCCAGCTATAATTGGTCATGCAGATGACAAGGTGACATTCCTTCTCAGTTTCTTTTCATTAAGTAAATTTCTTGTGCTTTCCGTCATGGATGTCATGCTTCTAGATTACTAAAGATATTCTGTGAAATAATTGAATTTAGAGTTGAACGAGAAGTAATCATTGACCTGAGGCCATTTCTAATTATAAGAGAGGATACTGCCACATTGGCCATTTTGATTTTGGTTGCCCCAGTCCTTGATTTTACCTTAAAATTGTAGACAATTCTTTATGATCACAGAAAGGACAAGAAATTATGATCACATAAAATTTTGCCTTATTCAGCTATAATTTTTTTTGCCTTATTCTTAGTCTTTGGGGGATCTCTGAGAGTGGAAGTCCTAATGAGGGATACATTTTTTTTAGTTTAATAACTTTTCAGTAATAGGAACCATCCTAAATTCATCATAACATTGCTTGGGCAACTGATAAATTTCTTCACTATACACAGAAGATGGTACACTTAATGTGTCAGATATGAATCTTTTTTATTGGATGAGTAGTAATCCGTAAGAACGATAGCAAAAAGATATTCAGCAGAAATATGAAAACAATGAAATTTGAATAAGGCATGATAAAGGCATTTGGAAGCATTATTAGAAATCATAGTAGGGAGAATAGATAGCTCTAGTACCTTTGTCCTTGTAAGGTCTTCTTTTGCTGGTAATCATAAGTTCATCGTACTTAGCATGTCCCAGTTCTTTTGTTTAGCTGTTAATATTTCTCTGATTAATAATTCTTTCACCCAACTTAAGTTCAATTTCAGTATCACTTTCACAGGGAGAAGTAGGTGCTTCGATAACGACTTTGTGCTTCCCAATACTAAGAAGCACAGTGACAGTAGCTGTTGGTCTAAATGAACTACTAACTCATGGTGCTCGTGTGCAGGTGAATGCTGCCTTGATTGAGACTTTGAAAAAAGGCACGAGCTTTGGTGCTCCATGTGTGTTGGAGAACGTACTAGCCGAAATGGTTATATCGGCTGTTCCAAGTGTCGAAATGGTTAGATTTGTCAACTCTGGCACAGAAGCTTGCATGGGCGCGCTCCGCCTTGCCCGAGCATTCACTGGCCGTCAAAAGGTTCTCAAATTTGAAGGCTGCTACCATGGACATGCTGATGCATTCCTTGTCAAGGCTGGGAGTGGCGTTGCAACCCTTGGCCTTCCCGATTCCCCTGGTGTTCCTAAAGCTGCCACCTCCGAAACCATAACAGCACCTTACAATGACATCGAGGCTGTGAAAGCCCTCTTTGAAACCCACAAGGGTGAAATCTCTGCCGTGATACTCGAGCCTGTAGTCGGAAACGCCGGCTTCATCGTTCCAAAGTCCGATTTCCTAGCATCGCTCCGTCAGATAACGAGGGAGGATGGCGCCCTGCTGATCTTTGATGAGGTGATGACTGGATTTCGTCTTTCTTATGGTGGGGCCCAAGAATATTTCAGCATAACTCCCGACTTGACAACTATGGGTAAGGTCATCGGAGGTGGACTCCCCGTTGGTGCTTATGGTGGAAGGAAGGATATTATGCAGATGGTTGCCCCAGCTGGGCCAATGTACCAAGCTGGAACCCTGAGCGGTAACCCTTTAGCGATGACAGCAGGTATTCATACTCTCAAGAGGTTGCAGGAATCTGGATCCTATGATTACTTGGATAAGATCACGGGAGACCTAGTTTCTGGGGTTTTGGAGGCTGGAAAGGAGTTCGGGCATAAAATGTGCGGTGGATACATCAGGGGAATGTTTGGTTTCTTCTTCACTGAAGGCCCGGTCTTTAATTTTGAGGATGCGAAGAAAAGTGACACTGAAAAGTTTGCGAGATTTCATAGGGGGATGTTGGAGGAAGGTGTATACTTGGCTCCATCGCAGTTTGAGGCAGGATTCACTAGTCTGGCGCATTCTTCAGGAGATATTGAGAGGACGGTAGAGGCAGCTAAAAAAGTTCTCAAGAGGATATGATTTGATCAAAACTGTAAGTTTCTGAAATATTTTCACCAGAGTTCTCTTCTCATGTTCTTAGTTTTGGTAGATTATATCATGTGCATTTTCTCTTCGGTGTGTAGTAAGAGCCCCTTGTTGAAAATAGTGTCACTAACATTTATTCCTTTCGGCTGGAAAACTTGTCCTTGGTGTTGTAACTCTGTAAGTTGGCTTTGTGGTTGGAAGTATGAGTAGGTTTTCCCTTTCCTTCTCTCTCTGTGTTTGGCTTGCATATATCAAAGAAGAATTTTTTGGGATGAAGGTACTGTTGTTTGGGGTTTAGACCTCAAGTGAACCATAAGTCCAAACCAATGTTTTATAACAAATAAAAATTCAAATCAACATTGCACCTTTTCAACTGATTTTTGATGTTTTTGCAATGTCACTTGATATTTGGAAATCATTATATATCGCTCAAAAATTATCAAAAGCACTTATGGATGTCAGGATGTTGCAAGCATATGGTTTTGTAGCAAGACTTATAGAAGGAAATATGATATATCAGTCTTGCCGGAGATATTCAAAACAATTTATTTAATCTATTCATCACAAACATCTGGAACACATGTGGGCCAATGAAAGTGAAAACTAAGTAAAGAACAATGAAATGAGAATTATGAAACTGACAGTGACGATACACTCATACTTTGAACTTCCAATAATAATTTCTATAAACCTCGTCTTCTCAACCCAAAAAAAAAAAGTAAACCTCACAAGATATTTATAAATTCATATGGGAGATCAAATCACTGAATACTAATAAGATGCATTTGCAGGCTTTTTCAGACGGATAATAGCTACGTTTTAATAGCAAAGGTACCAACAAATACAAAACCCAATTCCAATAAAATTGATATAGCAATCACCAAACTCTACCGAATATTCATTTAAACGAAATGGAACCACAATCAACTAGCATTTTCCCTGTATCTAGACAAGTTTCACTAGATAATTGCAACAATCAAATAACAAACTTTTTGAACTAGTAATATAAATTCTAGTTTCAGCAAAAAGAAATCATACAACAAACATCTAACTTAAACAGAACATTCATTGAGCCATCACATAAAATGAACAGGAGTCTTGATCACGGTCGCTCGGGAGGAAAGGGGGGAGGAGTAGGAAAGTTAGGAGGCATTGTCATTGGAGGGAAGAGCGAAAATGGGAAGGGAAGAGACGAGGGATCCAAGAACGGAAGGAGCCATGGAGGTAGAGAAAATGGCAGAGACGATGGATCAGGCAACGGAATGGAATTGAAAGGGAAAGGCAGCGGCGGAAAAGCAAAAGGAAGAGGAGGCCAACGTAACCAAGGAAGCAAGAACGGAGGAATCAATGGCCAGAAGAACAAAGATGAATCCAAACTGGCGGTCTGTGGCTTTTTAATAGCACCACAGTAGGTTACATCCCTCTTAGGTGGCTTATAGTTCATCGTGTTCAAGTTTAAGATGCATAGCCTGGATTTCCTTGGTTTGATAGTTATCTGAGTTGTCGATCTTCGGATTCCCATGACGTTGCAGAAAGAGGAGGGGCTCTCGATCAGGACTGCTTGGCATTGCGACTTTTTGACTTGGCCTTGCCTGCATCTGAATCCAGTGAGTCGAGGGATGTTGAGTTTGTAAACACCATACTGATCAGTGGTTGTGTTGGCTGCGATGAACATTGAGTTTGCTTTGAAACTGCATTGTATTTGTACTCTGGCGCCTGAAGAACAGAACAGAAGAAAGGACGATGAGTTTGGAAGTATAGTTTGTTTTTGTCTTTTGTTTTCGGTATACTTACCTTCGAGGAAATAGCTTCGTTTGGAGAAGGCGTTGTCGGAGCAAGAATCACAGAAGACGGAGCCGATGACTGTGACTGTAACATTGTTGGAGGTTGGTTTTGAATCAACAAGCAAAGAGAAAGAGAGAAAGATGAACAAGAAGGGAAGTTTCAGCATCATGATGCAACTTGAAAGGTTCTATCTCTGAGAGCTATGATTCTTGTTACTCTCTTCTTCTTGTGCCTGTGAACTGAAGGGGAGTGGATTTTGGCTTTAAGTGGACAGGCAAAACCTCAGAAAGAGATGATTGGCCAGCATGTTGATAGTTCACGGGTGTTAAGGGGGATTTTTTATTATTATGCCTTTGGTGTATTTTTGACCGAGAGCTTTTTGAAGCAATCCGTCTGGATTAAGATGGGTCCTTTCTTTTGTCTCTTAATTAGGCACCTTTCATTAGCTTAACACGTGCATATTGTCAGGAGTTATGATTGTTAAAGATAAGTTTCACAGAACTACTTGAGGTATTTGGGATTTTGTGGGATTTCTAATCTACTGCCAAAATTACATCCACAGATAATGGGGTTGGACAACCTGTTCGGCAAATTAAAGCAATTATCACAGATAACGCAGCGGAAAATAAACGAAGTAAAAATCGAGCAGCCACAATCATAAAACACTGAGGATTTTATAGCGGTTTGGATAAATCTAAATCCACTTTTCCTTCTAACCAAGAGGGGTTTCCATACTATATGTGAATTTCTAGACCCTAATTCAGTATGTGATACAAGATAGGTTCCTAGTCTACCCAAAAAACTAATCGTCTACACCAATTAATCTCACACAATTGTAACCCTAGCTCCTAACTAGTTACTCCAACCCTCAATTAACTCCAGCTTGAGTAAACCATACAAAACCAATCATACGATCATAAAAAACTCCAGCTTGAGTAAACCATACAAAACCAATCATACGATCATAAAAATTGTTTGTAATACAAAAATCATTTTCAGTTAAACACAAAGGAAAGATCTTACGACCATCAATCAAACTGTTCTCCTTGATGATCAAGGTGTAGCTCTGGAAGAACGAGGCTGGAAACAATGCCCCAATGGTAGAACATCTTGATTGTTGTAGATCTAATGATGTCGAACGATACGAAGGAGTGATCTGAACAACTTTTGGCTGATTGCGATGAGATTTGTTGTTCTAAACTGCAAGC